ATTTTTCATTTTTACTTGAGTAAAGAGGTCAAGTTCTACCAGAGTGTTTTTAAACTGCAGTATCTATACTTCTACTTAAGTATCAACAGTGTGTACTTTTGACACCACTGAATAAGGCAGGTACGTATTCATACAGACACGTTTTGTTCAGCTTTAACAACGAGGGGACTTCAGCCACTCTACTCCAGATGAATGCTTATTGAAAGCAGTGGTGACATAGCAGTAAAAGGGTAAAGTGGCTCAGTATCAGTGTCTTTGCCAATGACTGACTCCCTTCAGTTCAGCTTTGCCACACAAAGGCCTGCTTGTTTCCTTAGATGCAATCAGGAGTTTGTTTATTTGCAAACTCGAGCCGACCTGAGAGTTTATGTAAAATTCTCATATGACAAAAATTATTTTGATAATTTAATGTCACTTTACAAGCTAGAACTTCGGGGAATTGTATTGTCTTCTTAATACAGACAAAAAAAAACATAAATGACCTTTTATTTGTAACAGCAGAGAGGTTTGAGAAAATATTTGAAGAAAGTGCTCTTATCAGATGAGACTGAAACAATTCTTTGGGCTGAGAAGTAAACCAGTATGGTTGGTAGAACAGCAGGAACGGACAAAGTGGTCTGAGTCGATGGAGAAAGTTAGGTTGCAAATGGGTTATGACCGGGGTTGGAGGTTCGCCAGGAAAACAAAATTACAACAAAGCTAAATCATAATGGTTTACATCAGAGTTTACACTGTAAAAACAATCTAGAAGTAAGTAAAGATTATTTAAATTAAGTGTATTTACCCTTAATTTGAGTAGGTAAGTAAGAGGATTTGCCAATGGAATGAGTATGTTTACTCTTGAAATAAGATAATTAGATAAAATGCACTTGAAATAAGACAATTGTTTTCTCTTATTTTAAATGTAAATTGTCTTGTTCCATTGGCAAAGTGTCTCACTTACCTCCTCAATCCAAGAAAAAATGCACGTATTTTAAGAAAAAATGACTTATAAAGATTCACATTTTTTGCAGTGTACTTAAACGGACCAGTCAAAGTTGAGATCCGAGTCAAAAGAAGAATCTGTGGTATGACTTTGCAGCTGCATCAAATTGAGTTTATAAAACACATTGACTCAGATAGACCCCCCAGGGGTAGACAGCTAGACAGTGACGCAGATAAGGTCTGGCATCCCTGAGAAAGAACGTTGGTTAATTCCACATCCACTGTACACTATGCCTATTTCCTGTTTGGTACCTAATAGCAGAAACTGCGTCGTCCTCAACGCCTGGCACACCTCGGACACTATCCGAAAAGGATGCTAATCTGTAGCTCTGTGCGACGGTCTGGTGGTTTGCACCCGAAGCCAAAACACGCAGCGCCATGGCAAGTCTTTCAGGAACACTCACTGAACTGCCTGTCATCCAGCGTTGGATACGGGGGTTGTAGACGTCAAACAAGCTTGTCAAACCGACACACGGACACCCACAATCCCAGCTAGTTCGTGATTTTCCCTCTTGCGCTGTGGTGTGGTGTAAATAACTGTAAAATAATTGGGCATAAATCAAAAAATATCTGTGTCATACCTGCAACAAGCTAACTGCAACATACTACTGAGTATAACCAGCCCTTTAGGCAAGACAATTAACGCTAATGCCTGGTTTTTGCTCTGTACTTGAAAATATGAAAATAAAACACTGGAAAATGAATAAATAAATAAAAAATACTCAGCTTTTTTGTAGCTCTTAACAAATAGGACGGAGATAATTCAGCCAAACACAGTATTGAGCTTAAAGGATTTTTTTTTTCACAGATTTAGACGTGATCAAATGAATAGGTGATGGAGGTAGAACAGGCTGGTGGAGGATTGAATAAGTTGATGGTACCCTTTTAAAGATGGTTGATGGTTCACCGGGCTCATGATAGTCTTAAATAAGCAGATATTGGCAGAACAGGCTGAGGCAGTCCAGGTACACTGGAAACACAATCTAGAAATATGTAAAAATGTCCTAAATTAAGTGCATTTACCCTTAATTTCAGTAGGTAAATGAGATGGAATGAGGATTTTTACTCTTTAAATAAGATAACTAGATAATATGCACTTGAAATAAGACAATGCAATTGTGTTTTCTTATTTTAAGTGTAAATTATCTTGTTCCATTTGCAAAATGTCTCGTTAACCTCCTCAATCCAAGAACAAATGCACTTATTTTAAGAAAAAATGACTTATCTAGATTTAAACTTTTTCCAGTGTATTGACCAGAGTCAGAAGAAAAAGAGAACCCAATGATGTGATGGTGAGCACAGGAACACAGGATAACCAGGTGGTGCACACAAGCAATGAAAGTGAACCTTAAGGAGGCATTGAGACATTCAGGTAGAGACTGACTGTGACAGGCAGAGGTCAAGGAGCAGAATAGAGAAAACTTAACAGGCTGTTATCAATTAAAAATGTTTAGAGTTGTAACATGACAAAGCAAAAACGTTCGAGGATCAGGGATACTTTTGCACAGTGATGTGATTTCTTCTTTTTGTTTTGCTTCAACAGGCTCTTGAACTCCAACACATTCACGATGATTGCCGACGATGCGTTTGCTGGTCTGTCTCACCTGCAGTACTTGTGAGTGAGTCACTGAATGCACCATGTTTTCAATATAGAATAAATAGTATTTTTTTAATTTTCAGGGGTTAGAAATGACTCATCAAAGACAATATGGGTCATTAATGTATCCCTGTTTGTTAAAGACAAGCTCTTTATGTCTACACCTTGAAGCTTTCTCTCTCCGGTTCGTTTTCCTGAAAAGAGATCACTCAGGACAAACTCTTTAAATAATACTTCTTAACTTATATGTATTAAATAACCAGGAGACATGACAGAAGATTTTGATAGAAGTTGTAATCTTACTCAGATCAGAGAAGTTTCTTAGAGTTTCAGAAGGCAGCTCCACACCCCCCAGGCTCACTTATCGGGACCCATTAACAGTTAAAGAGGCATTTTATACATCTCCAGTCTGCCACATCATCACATTTTACATCACACACGTTAGCAGATGAGA